CCCGAACCAAGCTTTGTCCGCGCATCCAGACCCTTATTGGAGTCCAATAAGCCGGGCCACCCGAGCTTCAATACAGTTTACACAAGCGGTAGCGAACAAGGTGCATTTCGCGGTGGAACGATGAACGATTGCCTCCCAAAGGGCGTTCGCTTCAATTCGGCTCCCAGCCGCTATATTAACAACCATGCTTTAGGTTCAACACTTTGTTCTACGATAGAGAAAGCCATTCCTAGGCCATAAGCAATGAAGCTCCTCTAACATCTCATGTATTTGTTGTTTAGCAAAAAAAAGCATCTCATGTATTCTACCAAAAAAAAAAACATCTCATGTATTTTTATGCATGTACTTGTATATTTCACATATTTATTTTCTCGCTATGCTTGGGTTGTGTCTTGAAATACCCATGTATGTATTCCTTAGTTAATTGTGTTTGTATTCTTTTTTTTGTTATACATAAAGTTGTGTTTGTATTCTTGTGTATAATATTTAGCAAGATATATCATATATGAAAGAAAGAAAAAAGTAAATTTATATAAAACTGTTTTTTTTTTGTTTGGTAAAATTTTTATGTGAATTTGTTGTTTAGATAATTAGTAAAACTCGGGTTCTTGTGAATTCGATTCCATTTAGCGTTTTCCATGCATAATATGAAACTTTAAAAGAGAAACAACTCTAACATTTTTTTATTTCTCACAACAAATTAAGCTCGAGTTTATTGAACTTGGTCTCAAATTTTCCGAAAACCGTAAACGGACCCATTAAAAACTTAGGTTGCATGGAAACTCCGTCCGAGAAGCGTTTCCCATTTCGGAAACGTTTCGAAAACCGAAACTCATGGAAATGCATTTCCTAATAAATTTTAATTTGGAAACGCGTTTCCTAAAATATTTTAATTTGGAAACTTGATGGAAACTTTAATTTCGTTTTGCAAACGCGATGGAAACTCATTTCTTAGAGATTTCAAATTAGAAATACGACGGAAATGTTCGATTTCGTTTTGGAAATGCGATGAAAAATTATTTCTTACGTAATAATTAAATAGTTTAAAAATATAGGGATATATTTATAGGTTAAAAACAATAAAATTATAAAAATTTGCGTTTGTATGTATGTTAATAACAAAAAAATTATTATACTTTTGGCTTTTATTAAGTTATTTAATATTTATGTATATAATTTGTGTTGTTCAAATTGTTTTAAATATTGTTTTTGATGTTGTTGATTTT